CGCCCGGAAAAGCACTGTACGCGCGTTTCATCCTTATGGCATTATAAGCAGTTTGTTCTGTGTACTGATTACAGAAGAGTAGTAGGGGGAGTTGAATGGTATAGGCTTATAATGCCATAAGATAATTGTCGGCTTAAGTTTGTTAAGCTCGTCGCTTGGTGAGGGGGCTACCCTGTCCTCTGCACGGCAGTAACGTGTAAGTCAGTGGATAGTGAGCGGCGCTATATCACATCTAGTAACTTATTCACGATGGTCGTTGCCGTCCCCCGTAGCTCAGTGGTCTCAACCACGGACTGGCAACAGTCGAGTTGCGGTTTCGAGCCCTACCAAGGGTCCGATGGAATGCGCACTGCTGATGATTCCCGAAAGGATGAAACGCGCGTACAGTGCTTTTCCGGGCTTGTGGCGGCTGTCTGAGTGAGCCTAGATGTGACGAAATTCTACCTATACCATTCAACTCCCCCTACTACTCTTCTGTAATCAGTACACAGAACAAACTGCTTATAATGCCATAAGATAATTGGCGGCTTAAGTTTGTTAAGCTCGTCGCTTGGTGAGGGGGCTACCCTGTCCTCTGCACGGCAGTAACGTGTAAGTCAGTGGATAGTGAGCGGCGCTATATCACATCTAGTAACTTATTCACGATGGTCGTTGCCGTCCCCCGTAGCTCAGTGGTCTCAACCACGGACTGGCAACAGTCGAGTTGCGGTTTCGAGCCCTACCAAGGGTCCGATGGAATGCGCACTGCTGATGATTCCCGAAAGGATGAAACGCGCGTACAGTGCTTTTCCGGGCTTGTGGCGGCTGTCTGAGTGAGCCTAGATGTGACGAAATTCTACCTATACCATTCAACTCCCCCTACTACTCTTCTGTAAGCTTGTATATGATGTTCGGCTGGTGATGAATGTGGACTGCCTTACACTTCCACGAATTACACTGGAGTGGATTGTGGGGTGATCATTCATACACTCTGTCCAGGTCCCGCTGAAGTGCATTGTGATCGAGCCTCGTGATCGCCCGCCAGTTGTTAACATCATCGGCAAAAAAAACGAACCCGAGGCAATTAAACGCGTAAGAAACAGACGCGGCCCAAGAAGTGACATTTGTGAAAGTTCGAATTAGACATGAATCGGAACAAATAGCGCACTCCGAACCTTAACATGAAAGTGGCCGATAGTGCAAGAAATTCCTGATCCATCCAAGGACAGGAGCCCCAGCTCCATAGCTTCTGAGCCTGTGAAGCAGAGTGTGGTGGTACAGTCGGCGAAGGGCCTTGGAGAAGTCGAGGTGAATGACGTCCGTACTTCTGCCTTCATCGGCCACTTCCGTCCAACTACTGTGTGCAATTAGTAGACGTACATGTATGGTGTAGACGGAAAAGGTACTGCTCTGGTCGTTTGATGTTGTGGCGTTCCAGATGGTCAACTGAAACCTCAGCGATCATTGTCGCTATCACCTTAGAGAGTACGGGGAGAAGGGTCAGTGGGCGATAGTTTGCGTGTTTCGATCAATAATCGTATTAGAAAACTGGGATGATTAGACTAGGTTTTCACATGATAGGCACGATTTGTTCATCCAAGCACGTTTGGAAGAATTTCGATAATGGCTCAGACTGTGTTGTTGATACTAAGTTCAGCGCCCGTGTATAAATGATGTCATCGATTCCGGGAAAACTGTAGATGTGCAATGAGAGCAGTTTGTTCAACGCAGATGTGACAGTAAAAGCGATGTTAGTAAGTGCTGAATTTCCGGTGCCTTCGTAATTTAGCTCACGTCTGGTGGGAACACCGCGTGAGCAACGAGCGTGTTCGACGCCTTGTTTACGGCACAGGAAAAGGAAATGAACCGCTCAGCACCGTCATTTTACGCACCAGGCTCCGATGGCTCGGCCACGTGTTGCGCACGCCAGCCCACCGACTCCCGCGACGTGCGTGTTTGCGAGCCGGAGGTGTGGATGGAAGAAGAGGAGGGGTGGCCAAGCAATGACTTGGTCGAGAGGAATGAAGGCCCTCACTTCGGAGCTGGCCTCGATTGGAGTGTCTCGTTCCCCTGGTTTGGGTCCGAAAGACGATGAACACGTTTGGTTGGACACACTTGCTGATATGGCTAGGAGCCGACCTCAGTGGCGTTCGTGCTGTGAGTTTCGTTGTCCCACCCCATCCATCTTAGCCTCCCCCTCCAACCACGATCTTACTATTTAGCCTTATATAATTTTGCATAGTAACTTTTTGGATGCACAGTAGCCGGCTGGTAGCTTATCGGAACGATGCCCATCCGTTACAGGTAGTTCAGCTGACTTGCACCAGTTGCATTCTTTTTTTCTCCTTTATTCTGTGTATTGCGGCACAGTAGCTGAGGTGTTCCTCACCTCTAGCTAACGTGTATGATGATGATGATGAGTGTTGAAATTAGGGCCATGGATGAAGGTATATAAAGAGTGGGCTAAAGGAAGCCAACCTTGTTCTGAGGCCCTATTCATCTTTGGTTTACTTTAAGATCACATGGCAGGGGGATTAGCTGAACTCACATAGCTTTGTCCTTAAGCGTCGCAAACAGTGATTGGCGAGGACTATGTTTGGTCAGGCGAGAAAAACCTGCACACTAGACATGAGGAAGAAGAAGAGGTGCGGCTGCTAATACCCTTGCGTAAACCGGGTAGCCAATGTCCTTCTTCACTGAACAAGGAAAAAGTGGTAGAAATTGACCATGGGCCAAAGTATACATTGTCGATGCAGCTACCGTTTAAAGGAGACGACATGGTTCAATCACTTCAACGGAGCATGAAACCCGCAGTGGCGAGCCTTTGCATCGAAGTGCAATCAGTACTGACGACGCACAATCCGAACGCCTAAGGTTAGACGGCCACAAAGTCTGTCCAACAGTTCAAATGTAGTTTAGCAATTTACATATATCTGCAAAGCAGACTACATAGGCATGACAAAGCGCCAGTTGCGAGTTAGAAGCGCGTAGGTTCATGACATGTACGCATTGAGTAACTCATGTGATATACTGAAACGGTCGTGATCAAACATCTTAACTCCAGGTCACGTTCAGAAGGATCCCCAATTTCGGGGCTCAATGCAGAAATTGGAGCGCATTGCACTGCCATCTATCAGACCAAAACTCTGGATACGATACGTGGACGACAGGTTTGTCATCGTAAAACGGAACAAAGGACAGACCACGCACGATTTGTACAACAGCACACTAGAGGATATCAAATTTACGATTGAATCACAGGAAGATAACAAGCTACTATTTTTGGATTTACTGGTCATTAGGAATAGCGACGGGGCTCTGCAAACGTGCCTATATCGGAAGAAAACGCATACAGACCAGATATTAAACCACCACAGGAACCACCCGATGAATCATAAGAATAGCTGCATTCCAAACTTGTACAAAAGAGCGGAAAGGCGCTGCAGCATAGCCGAATCGCGGAAACAGGAAGAAACTCACTTATACCGAGTGTTTAGAAACAAGGGTTATCCAAGAAATTTCATCAGAAGAAATCCAAAGAAAAGAATATCACAGCAACAGTAGTTACCTGAGCAAGCAAACAAACGGACAGTGCTCCCCTACATTAAGAACGTCTTTGAACTAAACGGAAGACTGCTGCAGTCACATTGAATCTCTGTGGCTAACAAGCCAAGTGCCACCCTAAGCAAATTGATCTCAAGACCCAAAGAAAAAGTCAATCAAGCCGACCAATGCAATGTCATCTTCCAGATAAAATGCAGCGACTGCGATAAAAACTACGTCGGACAAACTGGAAAAAAGCTTCGTACACGAATTACCGAACACAAGACGGCCGTCAGAAGACATGAACCGCACTCGTTGGTTTTTGCGCATGAAGATCAAGAAGGCCACAATTTCGATCTGGAGAATGTGAAGATCCTAGCACATGGAAGTACAAAACACGCGAGGGAGTTCTTGAAAGCCTGGTACACTACAACAAATTCAATCAACCGACACATCGAACTGGACGTAGTATACGCAACACTACTGGCGAACGACCGCCAACGCGATCGATTGAATTCGGTGGAACATGTGACTAGACAACCAGGGCTGACGGCAGACTCGGTCACAAGAGTAAGCAGACAAAGGCCACGAAACACAAGGGTCAAGGTCAATTGTCCGTCAACCAAGCTGAACGCGGGCCGAAGTCCCAACCAATAAGAATGCTCGTCTAAACGGCGGTATAAAAACGCACGAACACCACGCTCAGTGCACTCTCACCGAGGCTCCTCTACGCCACTCAACTGCGCACTGATGACGACACCTTGATTGGTGACTGAAGATTTGCAATAAAATTGCCAAGCTCATCGAACAGTGTAACTGCCATCTGAACAACCTGAGCTACCAGTCTTCAATGCTATAGGCAGAGGGATGTTTACTACCTTGACGCATGGTCAATTACAAGAGGGATTTGTGTAGTATATGTGGATGTTTCACATTCAGTGCAGCCAGACAGTCGCAACACCCAGGAAAAGTATGTACGACCGTTCCAGACTTCCGGAAATTATCGGCAGTTCGTATCCCATCTGGCAGGTGTATCAGTAGAAAATTTTCAACATCAAGCGTATTAGCTTTCATGATATATATATATATATATATATCCCAGTATTCACTTGAGAATATGCAGATGAATTTCTCCGGATAAGCGTCGTGTAATAAAATAATACCTCCGTTTTTGATGAAAATCTCATCGTGAAATAGCAGCTTCTGTTAGCTTAATAGATAACCGTTAATTCCAAACATTAAAATGGAAGAAACTGTATATTGTCCTTTCCAAGGTTACCACGGTACTGTTGCTTAGTGCCCCAAGGTTAGAATGAGACAATCACATATACTCCAGAAGGTCAGTGCCGGTTCACAAAGAAGGTAGACATTTCGAGGAGTAACAGTATCTTCTGCAGACGAGATGCGTCGACCCAAAGCCCACCATATAAGTAATATTGAGAAGGTTCAGCCACATGACAAAACAAGTGCAATAGGGTGACAATTTGGCCTTCCAATGCATCATTCGAGACGGCCTCAGGGATAAAACCGCGTGTGCTGGGACAAAAATTGAAGATGAGTCTGGGAAATCAGTGGATCTATTCAATAGTGCCATAGTACAAAAGAGAGCGAAAATGCGGTGTAGAGATCAGTGCGTGTTCACTTCGAAAGCGGAGGTAAGCCGATCCAGACGACGTTCGTAGTAGTAATACGCCTCGAAGCAGATCTGATAAGAGAGTGAATCGTTAGGGCGAACAATGTATATGCCTACCTCGACACAAATAAGCAGAATGATCATCCATTCTAAACGAGCCCCGTGTCTGGATTGCAGGAGGCTGGATAAAATCTCTGTCAACTCGCAACACATGTTCAGGCGAGAATTGAGGATCTGCGAACGACACCGAAAAAAACAACAGACAGAACATGCTGAAGATGTAACGAAATGTGCATTTTGACAGTTTACATATAAATGAGACCCACTGTGGAAAGCGCAATCAGTTAATTGCACTGAAACGCTGCAAGATATGGCGCATAGTTGAAAGTGGTGAAAGATTTGGGTACATAAATGTCTACATTTAGATATTTAATGTTTAACAATTGAAAACGACAAAACAGGTAAATGGTGTGTGAAAAAATGACAACAGTTTCGTTCATCTTAAGGCACAATAGCTGAAGTGTGTTGCTCATCTTCAGCTAAGGCGCCATTGTGATGATATGGTGAATAAACCTGTATTCTTATGATTTCCATGGTTATGATTGGCCCTATATCTGGTCGATAGACTGTTGTCAATACATACAGAATGCATAAATAATTGCATCTGAAACTGATCCAAACCGGAATGGACTAAAATGTGTCGCCACCCTCCCGAAGGAAATAAACACCCGGCGGAACACCGTTCTACCAACTAAACAGAAGCGATCAATGGAGATTCAGTCGTAGTAACGGTCGGATGAGGGGTGCGAGCGGAATGTTAAGTGATCCAGCAGAGTAGGAGAGTTACAGTAATCCGGAAGAGAACCACCATTAACCAATCACCGTCAACCACAACAACAAATTAGTACTTCTTGTAAGCACATGTAAAATGATCAGTAGTACAAAAGTACCAAGAAAGCCGGATAATAACGTAAGGCAGTGGACCATACCAACGTCCCAACAGAAGACCACATGGGAGTCGCAGACGTTTGTCTACTAAGAATAGACGCAGAAGCAGCGAGAGCAACGTAACTCGAAGATGAGGGGAACCGCAGGCGGTGATGCGCATGATTTATGATACTTGCGGCAGTAAATAACTGCGGTCGCTTCTTATGTTCTTGCAATATTAACAGAGGAGGACAGGGAATCCGATTCGACAAAAACGAAAGCGGAACGCGAAAAGCAAACACATGCTTGCAAAAGAAAATGGTGCAGTCGTTGAAGGTGCCATGGCCAACCACCGGACACAGGCAGGAAACTCGCGAGTCTTCAATCACATGACCAGCCATTTGGCACGTTGATCACTTTAAATGAGCAATCACTTGTTTATTTTTATTTTTTTACTAACGTATAAAACCTAACAGTGTACCGACGCCTATTACTTACTGTATACGTCTGAAGAAGAAGTGAAAACATTTGTTTGCGTATAACTCATCGCCTTCTGCTATTCTCTCTGGGAGACGATATAACGGCATCTTACATGATATCACTAGTGATTGTTGTGAGCAATGCCGTAATTAGATCTACTTCCTTTAATGCGAATCCGATTCAGCTGACCTCGTTCTCCGTAAGATGCAATCCCATGCGAAAAGTAGAAGTCAGGGACTTGATGCGAAAGCGTGTTGACACCGAGACTACATAATTAGTGTAAAAGCCAGCGCATATTAATAGGACAACCTAGGAACACTTAAGCTACGATACAGAAATGCTGCTTACCAAAATTAACAGTTTATATCGGCACTACCTAATCAGGAGGTAGACGCACGCGTCATGTGATGTACTTGTGTCAAACGGTCGGTGGGCACATGTAACAGCAAACGCCTGAGTCAACGTGACACATTTGGTTCTAATTCAGCTTGACACATGCGACCCATCACCCAAATGGGCACTCATTCTTGCTGATACGCAACTGTGGTTGAACGTCTCATGTGATTAAGAGAGCTGAGTCTCATAGCCTCATTGTCACGAAAATCCTGGACACACAACTACTAAAAGAGAAAATGAAATCCTCATTCTCCTCTGGTACCAAAGCTGCTGATCTAAGCAGTCAAAGATGCGCTACTGCCGTTGTAGGTATCAATAGAGCTGGAAGAACCATCTCCGGTTGTCCGTAACAACGTGCTCCAAAGACCAGAAAACAGCTGGGAATTTTGTGAATGTGCAAAATACATGGCACAAGAGCGGGCACGTCGAATAGTCTATCGATGGTTAGTTGTGTGCCTTGCGATCGCCGGACAACCTGACAATGAAGCTTGCATACCTCATTGCAACTGGTATTATCAGATGCGTAACGTCAATACATAGTGAGATAGAGCGAAGAAAAAATCCGTGATGTAGCTTACGATGCAGCTGAAAATAAAATGGGAAGTTGAATACCACAATAACAAAACGATTGTTGCAATATGGTACCATTTCGTGCCCTCGCTTCACTTGCAAACGGACAACATGTCAAATAATAACGTGACAAAAAAGAAATCATTAAGTTGAAAGCGTGAGGTCACATGCAAGCGAACTGAACGTTGGTTACAAGTTGAAGCGGAATTATTAACTCCAAGGGAGTTTGAGCCTAACGAACAGTTGCTTCTGGACGCATACTGTTGGAGAATGCTTTTATATGGCCACTGCCTCGGCAAACTTGAGGACTCTGGCGTTTGTGTTATGATAGATGACACTATACGCCCAGTTGGGGTCCACCTGATTACCCGTTTCCATCAGGCGTTTCTCAGTCGAAGATGCAGGTATGTTGTTCGTCGACACAGGTCCCGTTTGCGGCTGCCTTGTCAAGATAACCACATGCTTCGGAATGTGCTCCCCACTCCGCTTACACAAGCAACGGTCTGTTCTGCCGATGTAACTGCTTTTACAGTTACAAACAAGTCGATAGATACAATGCGTTTGCCGAGGCAGTGGCCATATAAAAACATTCTCCAACATTATGCGTCCAGAAGCAACTGTTCGTTAGGCTCAAACTCCCTTGGAGTTAATAATTTCGCTTCAACTTGTAACCAAAGTTCAGTTCGCTTGCATGTGACCTCACGCTTTCAACTTAATGATTTCTTTTTTGTCACGTTATTATTTGACCTGTTGTCCGTTTGCAAGTGAACCGAGGGCACTAAATAGTACCATTTCGCAACATTCGTCGTCTTATTGTGCTATACTAGTTAATATAGGGAACCCAGTGCTTCTAATTGGGAATCAAAGTGAACTTGGTGGACTTTGTCAAGCAAACTAGTGGAGCAAGATTACGTGCGAACTGAAGCCGACGTGTGCTAGTGCTTAGATCGTGTTGGCCGGGGTCAGCTGTTTTTCGTCAGCATTGATCTCAAAGTGCCAAAGCATAGACCCGTGTCGCGGTTCAATGCTTCAGATCCATCTTATCTCACGTCAAATATTTTATGCTCGGCCATGATGGTATACTTGCTAGTATATCACTTTGGAGGCGGGAGAGCCTATGGTGCGCTGAGGCTGGTGGTGGCTAGATCCTGACAGATGGTCTACCCACTGCTGCTACTGTTGTACCATTTGCTCATGTCCTGGACGCCTCCTCGTGGCGACCGCTGGGTGAGAGTTGGGTTTCGCCCTTCTCCTTGCTAAGATCCAGGACACCAATCCGCATGAGTCAGTGAACTGATCATGTGCTACACCCGCCTACGTTCGGGTGTTTATTTAATCGAAGGCTTTGGCTCAGGACCCGAGTCGTTCTCCTGTAAGGTGTGGGCGCCCTGGCAGTATCCTAGTCCATCCTCTTCGGAAGTGGTCGATGGCCCACTTCCCGTAAAACCTAGCCATGGGAGACAACAGGTTTACAGGTTATATGCTCACAGCTTGATTGGCGTAGAGCACGAGCGCCACACACTGTCTCTGACAATGGGAGGGCACCTCCGGGTGTTCAATGGTTTGCTACTGCCCGCCTCAAGTCAGGCAGCCCCTGGTCAAATTGGTGCAAACCCGCCAAAATCCGAACTGCGTCTGGCCGTGGTCGCAGGTGCGTATCCTACTACGGTCGCAAAACATATAGGAATCGTTCCAGTACCTCCAAAGCTGCATGTGACGGCCGTCAAGCAGATCCCAATCTGTCTCTGCAATCACATTCTAGAGCTGGATATGCTCCCCACTGCATGTGGGTCAGGCTATTGAGCCAAAGGCTCCGGGTAGAGTCCCTCAAGCAAACCTCCGAAGCACAACGACCACCTCGCGTGCGATTGCCCATCAATGCAATCGTATGCCTGCGCGCAAAACACTCTGTATCGGGTGCTGGAACGTGCGCACACTACTGCACCGGAACTCCAGTGAGCGCCCGGAGCGACGCACTGCACTCGTCGCGATGGAACTGGCGCGCTACAACATCGATATTGCGGCGCTCAGTGAAGCCCTGCTCGCTGAGCAAGGTAAGTTGCATGAAGTAGGTGCTGGCTACACATTCTGCTGGGTGGGCAACGCCGCCTCAGCAACGCCAAATCATGGGGTCGGATTTGCAATATCCGATCGCTTCCATGGCCAGCTCATCGGTGAACCAACAGGCATCAGCGCGCGACTGATGACTGTTCGCCTACGACTCGGAAGAGGTAAATTTGCTACTTTTATAAGCACGTACGGTCCGACCATGTGTTATCCTGACGACACGCGTGGTCAATCCTACACTTAGATATCCTCCGTGATACGGTCTGTGCAGAGGAGCGACCGACTATTTCTGCTGGGCGATTTCAACGCGAGCGTTGGGCGTGATGCATCAGCGTGGACAGATATTATCGGTTCGCATGGCATTGGCTCAGCGAATGCGAACGGTGACAGGCTGTTCTCACTGTGTGCCACTCACGGCCTGACGATCACGAACACTCGGTTTGCACTGAGTGCGAGTGATATAGCAACGTGGACGTACCCACGGAGTGGTCACGCTCACCTGCTCGACTATGTCATCGTACGTCAGCGTGATATGCGTGAAGTGCGCATGACACGTGTACTGCGTGGAGCTGAGTGTGGCACTGGTCACAAGTTGGTGCGGACCAAACTGTACATATATTTTCGTAAATCTATGTATTGCACTCCCGCCGTGAACCAGCGTAAATTTAACCTTCTCTCCCTCTGTACTGTGAGGATACGTACTGAGCTAGAGAAGGCGACGGCTGTACGACTGTGTGATGTGGACTGTATAGTCACAGTGGGCGATCTGTGGCATCACATTCGCGACCAGGTGACAGCTGCTACCGAGAAGATTATCGAGCGCACTAACTGTAAGCGACCTGATTGGTTTGATGCGAAAAATGCGACGATTGGAGAATTGGTGTGTCAGAAGAATGCAGCATTTGCTGCATATGTCGCGGACCCCAGCGGATTGGGGAAGAACAGTCAGTTTCGCAAACTTCGACGGCGACTGACTCGAGAGCTCCGTCGCATTAAAAATGCATGGTGGACAGAGAAGGCGAAGCAGATGGAATGCTACGCCGAACGCCGCCAACACAAGGAATTCTTTGACTCCTTGAAGGCGGTGTATGGACCGAGATTGGAGCCGCTGAGGACACTGATCGATGGTAGTTCAGGCGCTACCTTCACACAGACTGCAGACATAATGCAGATCTGGCGAAAACACTTTGACTATCTCTTGAACAACCGTTCAGAGATCGACTGGCCTACATTGAACCGCCTGAAGCAGCACGATGTGAAGGCGAGTCTGGCGGACACGCCGACACGCAGAGAGCACTTGCTCAGCTGCGAAACGGCAAGTGTGTCGGTGCCGACGGGATCTCGCCTGAAGTATTGAAGCACGGTGGACCCGCGTTGTTGACTGCGCTGCACCACTTGGTGCAACGCGTATGGATTGAGGAGGAGGTGCCTCCTGAGCTGAAGGATGCCTTTGTGCTACCACTGTACAAGGGCAAAGGTAGCAAGCAATGTTGCACGAATTATCGTGGCATCAACTTGCTGAGTTGTGTGGACAAGGTGATTGCCCGAATCCTGCTCAACCGCCTCGTCAGTCAGGTTGTGGAACCTAACGTGGCGGAAGAACAATGTGGATTCCGTTCGGGTCGCAGCACTATAGATATGGTGTTTGCAGCTCGTCAGTTGCAAGAGAAGTGCAGAGAACGACACCAGCCATTGTACTCGCTTTTTGTTGATTTCACCAAGGCATTTGATACGGTGAACCGCGAGGCATTGTGGCTGGTGTTGGGTAAGTTTGGTTGCCCGCGTAAGTTTGTAAGTTTAATTGAATGTCTGCACAGTGGTATGCGAGCGAGGGTGCAGCTGAGTGGAGAGACTTCGGATGACTTTGCAGTTGTCACTGGTGTGAAGCAAGGCTGTGTCTTAGCTCCTGCCCTGTTTAATATATATCTTCATGCAATGATGTCCTGTGCTTTTGATGCCGCTTGTGCTTACGGTGTTCGTGTGGAGCACCGTATTGATGGTGGGTTGCTGAACATCCGTCGTTTCGGTGCGAGAACTCTAGTCTGTGAGACAACTATCCGTATATTGCTGTTTGCTGACGACTGTGCGTTGTTTTCACACAGCGCGGATGAGTTGCAGCACATGACTAGTGCTCTGGCTTCGACAGCGGCCAAATTCAGGCTCACCATCAACACAAGCAAAACTGTCTGTCTCTTTCAACCTTCACCGGAGGTGCAATCTTCAATATTGCCGCAAATCAGCATTGGTGCTGAAGTATTGGAAACCACCTCCCGCTTCTGCTACCTTGGGAGTGTGATGTCGACTGATCAGCAGCTACACAGCGAGCTTCGTATCCGCGTGTCGAAGGCAGCGGCGGCATTCGGGAAGCTAGAGTACCGAGTGTGGAACAACCATCAGCTTACCATTGGCACGAAGCTGATGGTGTACAAATCCATGGTGCTGTCCGTTCTTCTATACGGCAGTGAAACGTGGACGATGTACCGGCGGGATGTGCGATATCTCGAGCGGTTCCATCAGCAGTGTTTGCGACGGATTTTGCGCATCAGTTGGGGCGACAGAGTTGCAGACACGGAAGTGTTGCGACAAAGTGGAATGTATGCAGTGGACTGCATACTTTTACTGAGACACCTAAAGTGGCTCGGTCATGTGTGGCGTATGGATTCGACGCGGATACCGAAGCAGCTATTATATGGTCAGCTGAGTATTGGGAAGCGGCACGTGGGGAAACCGAAGTTACGTTACCAGGACATGATTAAAGTGAGCCTCACACGTTCTAATCTTGATTGCAGATCATGGGAATCGAAGGCGGTTGATCGGCGTGCATGGCGCGATCTAATCACGAAGGCAGTCGCCGAAGTGCGGAAGAAAGCCCTCATGCATGCAGAGAAGAAGCGGCAAGCGCGGAAGCGGCAAGCACCGATGGGTTGTCCTCCATCGACATCAAGCGCATGGTGCTGTAGAACATGCGGTCGCCAGTGCCTTAGTCAGGCAGGCTCAGTGAGTCATCAGCGAGGCCACTCGGGACCACTACCGAAGCGACGACGGGTCCTGCAGAGAACGTAGGCAAAAGCAGCGCAGCATATGTAGGTACACTGTATTCGATTTACTAACCGCGTGCTTGCATGCTAAGTCTCTTTATTTCAGGTGGTGGGTTTTCAATTTTGCCTTAATGCTTTTCTTTCTCATATAAATGTCCACCTGTACTCTATTCCATTAAGTTGCATACCTCGCTTAAGCCAATTGCATTCGATTTCCATAACATTTTCGTGTTCGTGGCATTTCCGTAAATTATACTTTCCTGACCGCGTGAACTTATCTAGGATTCGTTTGTAAACAACTTATTTCATATGCTCATTAATTTAGGATTTGTCACCGTTTCCTTAGCCATTAATCGAGTTATTTTCTTTGTATCTCTCTCTCTCAAGTGATTGGCTATTGTTTGACATCCCCGGTGTGGCTGCTCTTGATGTCCATGTTGACAAGGTCCCTAACTGTCTATTACCCACTACCTCGTCCATACTGGCTCCAGGAGACAGTTGGTCGTTGTTGAAGGGGACGGGGTGCACGGTCATTGCGGCCATGGTAGGCTCGAAGAGCGGTTCCATGCACTCAGTGTGGAGCGGACTACGGTCCAGCCACCGCCTTGTGTGCGCTTGATTCCCCAAAGAGAGCGCGTTTGTGTTTGCCTGTGATGGAGTGTGGGCCGGCTCCGTTGATGAAACGTGGCTCCCATCCGCATGCCTCCCGATCTTATTCCGTCGGGTTTACACTGCATATGGGGTGTGTGGATGGAGCTGTGGGTGGTGCGGCGCAAGCTACCCATGGTCTCTCTGTAGGCGCAGGCGTCCTGTGGTTGGCCACAGTGACAGACAAATCCGAAACCGGATGCCACCAACCATATCACTTTCGGAACGAAAATTGAAGAGAATGGCGATGTTGCAAGGATGACGATCATGAAGGCATTTATGAGGGGTAGACAAACAGACACTGTACAACAGTATATGAGAGTGATAGCGTATGATACTAAAGCCACTGACATTTGGATGGTACTATTTCGGAAGAAAATCTTTCGGAGTAAACTCAGACGTCGACAGCAGAGCAAGTTATGCGATATACTGGGAAATACTCACTCTGATTCGCGGATTCACATTGAGCGCAGACCTTAACTGTGTATAGAGCACTTCGGCCTCAGGACGTTCCCAATACAAATCCGGCGTATCCAGCATCGAAGTGCTAATATTCAAAAGGTGTCTAGATAAATAGAGGATAGAGATAGCCTTCAAGAAGATAAGAAACTGGTGTACAGAATAAAAGATGAGCCATTTACGAAACAACTTGCGTGGGCTAACATAGAGTGAGCAAATCGACTGAAATCAGTATCCTAATAAGCTTAAGATAGAAACTACACGTCAATCAAAATGAATCGGTAGGTCAGATCCCGACCGCGAATCAGCGGCTCGATAAATGTCATGCGTTCGACGAAGCAATTACGTCAATTTGCGACACATCGTGAAAGGAATGGGGCATAAGTGCCGGTATGAAGCAAGAAATTAATCTACACTATACATCAAAACGTACTTTAAAGTGAAAATCTCGCCCGTCCTCCTTAGCACCGCAGATTGCGGCAAATTTATCCAACGGCCGTTTTTCAGTCTCTGCAAAGATAAAGCGGCGAAATACAATGCATAATATACTATTAGCAACGCAAACGCGGTAAAAAAAACCCAGAGATAAAATGCATGGGAAAATTCGCGATGGTTGTTAGTACCGTTCATGTACCAAAAAGGTAAAATGCAGCTACCAATTATGTGGAATACATGCAACGAGGAATGGTGTTGCACACGTATGCACACACCCACACACATAGTTTGAGGAAACACAACTCATTGAACACCGTGTTGTACGATTGGATGCCTGTTGGTGCTTTTACATCGATACTGAAGCGAAGACCGTGGTGTTGTTTCCAGACACATATCGTAACCGCTGTCCGCATGTGCGCATGACTTAATGTGTTAGCCCAAAGCAGCTACCTGAGTCCATAGGCAAACGATCAGTTCAATATGCGGCTGTGTTAGCCAAAAGAGATCAGAATTGGATAAGCAATCATCTAGGTAGATGTGTGTCAATTTGAGGCACTAAACATGCATCTGCGATCGTTTGAAATCGGAACTTGAAGTGACACCGCGAATCCTCAGAGGATCTATCCTGAACATGTATGCGAGGTCAAGGGTCGCAAAGATGTCGGTAGAATGTGTATACAGAACTTAGGATAATATTAAGACTATCAAGATGCTGGAACATCACCGCATTTCCATTCGCGCAAGCAGCAGAACCAGGCGGTTAGAGTAAGAGCGTTCCCAACACATCGAAACGACAACATAAACGATAGGATCAAGTGGATACGTACAAGAGGTCATGGTTGTCCCGAGACCAACGACAACACTGCATAAAAAAATAATAAAATAATGTGTAAACTGTACACCGTAAGGGCGCTTCGCTGCTGCGCGACCACCAACAGTCGCATGTGGGCTGTGTATACTGCGAAGACGCCCACCCCTACGCGGATTCGAAGCGGTGATCTTATGATTGCAAGCCAGGCGTGCAGACCACTCGGCCACTGTTAAGAAGCCCAACCGAATAAGGTGGGATTACAAAGTTAGTTTGCTTGCTTATCGTTGATTCTTGACCCCTATTTAGTTATTGTCTACTCAACCTTAAAAAGAATATTTTCATATTTTATTCTTTTCATGATTATACTGAAGTGGCGTCCGTCAATGTAATAAGAAGCCGCGCTTTAGGGGACTAATCATAACATATCAACATCTGCGAAACCGAATGTCGTGCACTCACTAAGCTATTGTACGGAAGCCTTTTAGAGATACTAAGTGGAAAGGTAAAGCATATTCCGATGACCACTGTGGTAGCGATGACGGCGGATGATAGCGCAAAAAAAGCAACTGTCTGTGTGAACACATGTTATTGCTAACAAAAACTGAAGGACTATGAAGCTCTCACGTTTGTGTTTCGCAAGCGCATGGACCCAAAAATAATCCAAAAGGCGTAATCCTCCAAACGATTCAGTGTGGTCCGTTCATACACCACAAAGGATGACCGAGTCGTTCCCTAGTTATTGTTGTTGCAACCATCAGTCAGAGTCGTGCGCTGATGACAGAATGGTGCACTGCCATCAGTGTGATTTGACAAGGTTATGGATAGGTCCTCATGTTAAGGCTTCTTCATCGCAACGCAAAAGAAACCGAACAAGTGTAAGAGGACGTCGGTTTGTTCCTGACTGTGTGCAACAAATAAAAAAAATACAAGTGTTAGTGATGCACAAGAGCTATGCACCGATGTTGCTGAGTTTCCGCTGACAGTATGGACCACCGATATAGCTACTCTAATCAGGACCCAGCGACATCACATAGCAGAATACAAAGGCATTTAGCAAAGCTCCTATAGAGCGTCCGACAAAGTGTACAGCCAAAGAAGGATTTAGGTCACGGTTTCCGCCTTTGCAAATCTAACGCAAAACGGATTAAGTTCTTTGATCGTTTGGACGTCTTTGCAACGTTTAATCTCGTATAGGATGTCTATTCTAAGAAACGTAGGCATCAGGCTTTAAAGAATTTAGTCAGTATAGTAAGTTCTGCGTTAGATTTGCCGAACAAGAAGTCCTCATCGATTTTCATCGTCATTGCATTGAAACGAATGAGTGTCCAAGAGTTTTCTGGAAAGCATTGCGGGGACACCATATTCGCCCTAAAACAAACAGCTAAGGACGTAATACGCTTGACAGTATGTCAGTCAAATCTATGCTACCAGGGACCAAACGTCATATCTCACAGAAACCAACCGCACTTGACACGCTCCACAATAATGAACGAGCGTATCGTGACCTCAAAGCGAGTGTCTAAGTTAGGATTTACCCTACAGAAAATACAAAGTCCCATGAAACGTCCAACCAAATTTCTGTCAAATCCTGTAAGTTATGTCCACAAACTGTCCATCATGCACTAAGACACCTTAGAAATGTAAGCGATTTCATTGGATCTTTAATTTTGTCACCCATTGACTAGAAATTGAGACACATTTTGTATATCACAACAACCAGACCAATGACTTAGTACGCATTTCTAACACTTCTCGACGGTATCCCGTGACACACTCCAGATTGCTAACAAAGGCACACGTTAAAGCAACAAATGAACTTGAACAGGAAGAAGATATCATCGTCATCAAACCGGACAAAGGACCAGGAGCCGTAATCATGGATCGCACAAAATACGTGCAAAAAATAGAAATGATCCTCTAAGACACCTTCAGATGTGTACGGCAGGAACAAGAGAAAGACAAAACGGAATACGCAAAAACACAACTGACAAGGCGCTCGAAGTCGTTAGTAACTGAAGAATATGACTAAAGAAAGATATGAAAAGCTCAAACACACCGGATTTATCATCCCTAGGCTTTATGACCTACCAAAAACACACGCTATACACGTTAGCCAGAGGTGGGAAACACCTCAGCTACTGTGCCGCAATATTTAAAAGAAAAAAGGAAATAAAATGCAACAGGGGTCAGCCAGCTGAGCTACAGGTAACGGATGGGCATCGTTCCCGTAAGCCACCAGCCGGCTACTATGCAGCAAAAAAGTGATTACTTATGCAAAACTATAACATGTTAAATAATGAGATCGTGGTTGAAGGTAGAGGCTAAGAGGGATGGGTTGGGTTAAAGAAACTCACAGCACGAACGCCACTGAGGTCGGCTCCTTGCCATAGTAACAAGTGTATCCAGCCAAACGTGTTCATCATCTTTGGGACCCCCAACCAGGGAGCCGAGAACCGCCAATTTCGAAGTGAGGGCCCTCATTACTCTCAACCAAGTCATCGCATGGCCACCCGTCCTCTTCGTCCATCCACACACCCGGAGCGCAAATAACGCACATCGCGGGAGTCAGTGGGATGGCCTGCGTAACATGTGGCCGAGCCATCGGTGCCTGGTGCGTGAAATAACGGTGCTGAGCGGTTCATTTCCGTTTCTTGTGCCGCAAACAAGGCGTCGAACACGCCCGTTGCTCACGCCGTGTTCCAACCAGATGTGAGCTAAATTGCGAAGGCACCGATGGTCGAACGTAACTAGCCTCGTCAGGTCCGCTGATCTAAGGGGGCAGATTTCACAACCGTACAGTAGGGTCGAACGTACCGCTGCATTGTACACTCTACCCTTCAGGGCAAGAGTGATGTTGCGCCAGCGCCATAAGTGGCCAAGATTAGTAAAAGCTCCTCGAGCTTTTGCTATACGGCTCGTGATCTCATTTTTAATCCCACGGGCGCTGATACAACTTCCCAGGTAGTTGAATTTCCGAACGACTTCTAGCTGATCCCCATCAAGGGTCATCGAAGGAGGCGGTCGAGACCAATCTTGGAGGAACACTTTGCACTTTGATGGTGCAAAGCAAAGCCCGAAGCGGCTGACAGTCAGTGCTAATCTGTCCAGTGCCCCTCGGCATGTCTGGGAGCTGTCACAGATGAGGGCAATGTCGTCTGCATACTCCAAGTCAAGAAGTCGTTCTCCTGGGAGTAAATCCACACCTTCCAAACAAATCCACACCAAAAACACACAAACCAAAAAGATCTTTGTGACCGATACTGGATATTTCATCTTATCACAGATTCGCAAGATGGTTAGCAAATACGCTTGCTCCTATCAGAAGAATGAGAGTTCCTCATCAGCAAAATGATACGTTCCAATGCGTTGAAAATGTAATAGGCTGTTGAATATCTTCACTGGATGTCGTCTGGCTATTTAGCAATGTCTTTCTGCCGGAAACAGTCAGTTTCTCTTGTGCCTATTTCGACCGGCACACGAGAAGCATCGAGGCAACAAACATTCACCTAAAGCCACTGTTACTCAGATGCATCTATAACATCCAATTGCAATTCAACAATGAATTACCTAGACAAGTAGACGGAGTAGCTACAGAGTAGCCTCTCGATCTATTGTTAGCTGATGTCTACATGGAAATGCAAGAGTATGGCGCACTAAAATTGACCATTTCGACCTTTTGTTTCCAATCACGGTATGTAGTGATCAGACCAGCAGCCTGCAGAAAGTCGTCGAGAGTTTCGACAAAACCCACCCCAACGCCTCATGCACAGCAAAAGAAGGTAACAACGAACTGAATTTCTTGGACGCAAGCTTACGGAGAAAAGGTGACGGATCACTAAAGATTGGAGTAGAAAGAGAATAAAATTGGACAGGGCAATACACGCATTTCCAGAGCTTTGTTCCACTAAGTCGCAAACCAACACTAGTACACATTTTGACAAGTCATGCGCGCAAGATCTGCAGCGAGGACGCAAGTGAAGATGAACTGAGGCGAATCAAACAGACGCTTGGCGAAAACGGATATCCAGAACACTTCTTTGACGTTCTTATGAGGCCAAGCAGTCGGAAATCCACCCTGAAAACGATTAAGAAGCAGCTGTTTCCCAAGCTTTATTTGAAGAATGGCATTACGGCTGAAGTAGGTACAAGAGGACTGATACGAATTGCAGAACGCCTTTTAATGCAGCGCAACTTAATGTTGTCTTTACGAGCAAATCGCTAATTGTTCTTAGATTCAAAGATAAAGCGCCTGGTCAACTCCAAT